TCCCATGAATTCTCAGTTTTCCCATGAACTCCATAAATTCCCTTTTTCCCATGAATTCCCTTTTCTCCACGAACTCCCTGTTTTCCTATGAATCCCCCTTTTCCCATGATTTCCCTTTTCCCCATGAACTCCCTTTTCTCCATTAATTCCCTTTTCCCATGAATTTCCTTTTTCCCATTAATCCCCTTTCCCATGAACTCCCTTTTCTCCATAAATTTCCTTTTTCCCATTAGTACCCTTTTCCCATGAATTCCCTGTTTTTTCCATGAACTCCCTTTTTCCATGAATTCTCTTTTTTCATTAATTCCCTTTTTCCCATGAATCCCCTTTTTCCCACGAATTCCCTTTTTCCCATGAACTCCCTGTTTTCCCGTGAATCCCTTTTTTCCCAGTAATCCCTTTTCCCATGAATTCCATTTTTCCATGAATTCCCTTTTTCCCACGAACTCCCTTTTCTCCATTAATTCCCTTTTCCCCACAAACTCCCTTTTCCCCCATGAATTCTCTTTTTTCGTTAATCCCCTTTTTCCCATTAATCCCCTTTCCCATGAATTCCCTGTTTTCCCATTAATTCTCTTTTCTCCATGAATTCCCCTTTTCCCATGAATCCCCTTTTCCCCCTGAACTCCCTTTTTCCCACAAATCCCTTTTCCCATGAATCCCTTTTTCCCACAAATCCCTTTTCCCACAAATCCCTTTTCCCATGAATCCCTTTTTCCCACTAATCCCTTTTCCCATGAACTCCCTTTTTCCCATGAACTCCCTTTTTCCCATGGACCCCCTTTTCCCATGAATCCCCTTTTTCCCCTAAACTCCCTTTTTCCCATTAATCCCCTTTCCCATGAACTCCCTTTATCCGATAAACTCCCTTTTCCCCATGAACTCCCTTTTCTCCATTAATTCCCTTTTCCCATGAATTTCCTTTTTCCCATTAATCCCCTTTCCCATGAACTCCCTGTTTTCCCATGAATCCCCTTTTCCCATGAATCTCCTTTTCCCATAAATCCCCTTTTTCCCACAAATTCCCTTTTTCCCATGAATTCCCTTTTTCCCACGAACTCCCTTTTCTCCATTAATTCCTTTTTTCCCACAAACTCCCTTTTCCCCCATGAATTCTCTTTTTTGTTAATTCCCTTTTTCCCATGAATCCCCTTTTTCCCACGAATTCGCTTTTTCCCATGAACTCCCTGTTTTCCCATAAACTCTCTTTTTCCCGCGAATTCCCTTTCCTCCATTAATTCCCTTTTTCCCACGAATTCCCTTTTTCCCATGAATCCCCTTTTCCCGTAAATTCCCTTTTTCCCGTTAATCCCCTTTCCCATGAACTTCCTGTTTTCCCATGAATCCCTTTTCCCATGAATTCCCTTTTCCCATGAACTCCCTTTTCTCCATGAATCCCCTTTCCCCTAAATCCCCTATTTCCATAAACTCCCTCTTTTCCCACAAACTCCCCATTTCCCCGCAGCAGCACGAGAAGAGCCCATCCCCGGCCGTGTCGCGCCCGCGGGGTTGGGATTCCCCCGGCTCCCTGGACCGGGGCGAGCTGGAGGTGACGAGCCCGGCGCTGCGGAGCCGCCCCGTCACCCGCAGCATGGGCCAGGGTGACACCATGGAGGTGCCATCGAGCCCCGTGCGCCGAGCCAAGCGGGCACGGCTCTGCTCCTCCAGCAGCTCGGTGAGTTGGGACACACTCTGGGCACCGGGAGGGTTTTTCTGGGGCTCTGCCGTGTCCCTTTTGTCACCTCCTCGTTCGCAGGATGCGGCCGTGAGGAGTTTTTTCCACCCCAGCTCGCAGCACCGCGATTGGTGTCCCTGGGTGAGCAGCGAGGAGGAATTCCAGGATGATGGCACGGACAAGGAGCCCGGGAAGGCCGTGCCAGGATGGGAATTGGTGCTCAGGAGGCTCCTTGGCATCCGGAAATGTGACACCGTGCCCGAGGCAGAGCCTGTGGTGAGCGGCTCAAACGGGAACGGTGCCCAGGGAGTGGGAATTGGGGATGGACGGGCTCTGTTTGGGGTGAGCACAATCACAGCTGGGGAGAAGGACAAAGTGGAGAGCCTGGAGCATTG